CGACGGCGATCGGACAGCCGCGGTGTATCGGTGGCAGCCCCCATAATCGATAATTAAAGCGTTTCACCGGACGGCGTCGAAAAGGCTTCTAATCGACGCTAATTATCGTGCCTCCTCCGTAACTGGCTTCGCTCGTAAATAGTATATCCGCGCGCGTCCTTAATTTAATATGATTCCCGTAGGTGCAATTTATGCTTGCGCGAGTACACCTATCTGCCTACCCTACGGGGTCCCACCCTCTCCGTTCTTTTCGCTCAGCTTCACCGCGATTTAACGTCTCACGGAGTCGGCCGAGGCTGGGGACCGAGAGCGAGAAGGAGCGAGACAGCCGGTGGCGGACTTGACGGTGCGGCATGACGTCTAACGATACTATGAATAATTCATTATAATTAACCGGCTACGAGGAGCCGGGACGAATCTCCACCTTCGATCTCGCTCGATGACGAGGGCCGACGCGATCACGATCTATTTAAATCGGCGTAACTAGCCTTAACGCCGGCTGCTGCGTAGCCGTACAACTGCGGGACGTGATCCCGGGGTGGCAATTAAAACTCGGCAAAACCAGTTATTATCTGGCAAAAGCGACCACAGTTTTACTATCGTTTTTTCACTTCGATAAAATTCTTTGTGTATCGCTGCTGCATATAATATCGGAGAAACTTTATGGCAACGATTACGGCCGCGGGACGATATATTGCGCGTGCAAAGATATCACGCTTGTGGTATTAAGTGACGCTTCCTGAGAAATAATGTCGGACGTATATCGATATAAAAGATTGAAGCAAAAGTGCAATTTATTATATCAATTTGCAAACGGACAGACGTACGGCGACACGTTCCCCCGAAATTTGCTTGAGTCGCTAAAAGAGAGTTAATATACTGTTGAGTGGTAGAACGGTGATTCTGTTATCAGAAGTCCAGCTCCGAAAACAGGATATATCGTGGCCATAACCGTCGCTATAAAGTAGCTCCCTGGATCTTATATGCCTCGCAACGATCGCCGTATACGATGTGTATACGTGGCGGAGAATTCCTTCCCGCGCGACGGGAAGACCGTTCCTCGCGTGCGACAGTCAATCGGACGATTTAACACGCTTTCGCGTGTTGTACCCGCCGTCTCCTTTTCAAACACCCGCAATCTTCCAACTCGATAATAAACATTCGGTTATGGCTACGCTACAACCTCGCGTCGGTCCGAT